AAATAGAAAATAAACGTTGTCTAATTTGTCATAAAATCGTCTAAGATTTCATAAACGTGCTAAAATCGATTATAATTTTCAAAATCGATTTTTTATAAATTAGAAAATAAAGCGGGTTAACAGTGTATAGTCATGTGGCAGTGTGACGGACGTACATACACGTGATCATGTATCAGTGTGACGGACGTAGATACATATAGTCATGTGGAGTGTGACGGACGTACATACATATAGTCATGTGGCAGTGTGACGGACGTTTTCTCTCTTCTTTTTCATATCTGTATTAGAGATTGAAATCTAAGTATGCACATACACTTATATCTGTATTTGAATAAAATGTATATGAGGTGGAGTGGATGGATAATACTTTATTACTTGAGGGTGAGGGTGAGTAAAGCTCGTCAAGACTAGTTTCGACCCTGCTAAAGGGTCGCCTCAGTTGATTTGTACTCCTCCATTTGTTCTCGATTAGGAAAATCAAAAACGAACTGAAATAATCCATCAGAAATTCAAACAAAGCCTTCGTATTGAAGACAATGGATATGGTTGAACTGGAGTGAGTAAAGCTCGTCAAGACTAGTTTGTGTGATTTGGTGACGATGGGACACGATAGATATTCAGACTATGATCGAACTATATTGGGGATGATCTGAGATTGAGGTGGCAGAAGAAGAATGAGTGGAATGAAGATACAGTTTTGATGAAATTGAGAATCGTTTTCCTGGTGGTTTTCATTTGGGTTGTTCAGTGGTATAGTAGCTGCATTGAGTACGAGTCATAGGTGGTGATGGGATACTCTGAGTGTGACCTATAGTTTCTCTAAGAAGAGAGCAGTGAAGACCAGTTTGATCATGAATGAAGATAGTGCGTTTCATGTTTACCGTGGAATCGATGGAACGATTCGGAGAAGAGAAGCTTTATTTTAGCGCGAAAGTTGAATAGAAAAATTGACAAGACGAAGATTGGTTTGGAAAGGCGTAATTGACAGGGCGAAGTGTTGAGGAACTGATTAGTATTGAACAAATATTGTCAGGTAAGGATGAAATGTCTTGGAATTGTAACGGGAACAGACGGAACAATAGCAATGTGAAAGAGAAGTGGATGAAAAGAATGAGGAAGATGATGAAGGAGATATAGAGAGGATAGATCACACGAAGTCTTCATGACTGAAAAAGGAAAAGGAGAAATCGTTCAAGCTAAAAATATGAATAAGAGATTGAGCTAAATATCGGATATGTCGATGAGATTTGAAAACATAAAGCTCGGTGTTCAAAGAATCGGACTGCACGATAAAACTAAACCAAACGTATTGAAATAAATCATGTATGCTGATCTATGCAAAGACGAAACCAAGTTCATTGAATAGATTGCATAGATGTAGAGTATTTTTTCACTGTTGTATTCAATCGCAAGGTGATTCATCACGAATATCTTTTTGTTTCTTGAAAGGATTTCGACAGATCAATTCTTTCGATAGATTCGGATTATTTCGAGTGCCGACGATCACTCTCTTTTGCTTCAACGGTGTACCGTGAAATACATTGTCCCATAGCTGATGAATTTTTCGACCGTAATCAGCAAAACGCTGCTCATAAGTATAGTGAATGATGATGGAATCGGCTCTTTCTTTTCGTTTCAACAATTTCTCCTTCACTAACGGATCAATGTTCGGTGGAATATCAACGAAGTTGAATTGTTCGGCAAGACGGGCTGCTCGTTGATGTTCTTGGACACTCGTTGCATCCAACAGCCGACAACGAATAATGGAAAATTCATTCTCATCATGAATCATCGGAATGATCGATGTTGATGTGATGGAATACTTTTCAAAGAATTTCATGAATTGTCGATGGATATATCTTGTTGGATAACTGAAATACAAGAGGGAAGACGAGATGATCGATCGAAATCATTGAGAGAGAGAAAAAGAGAAGCAAAAGCGAATCAACCCGTTGAATAACGGCATTATCTTGATCGATCTTCGTTCATGGTTGAATGCTTCTAAGGTCGATGAATAGCGAAGAGCACGAAGGGCACATTCGATGATATTGGCGAAGACATGTCGAGGATGGTCCGATTTGAATGGCACCAAGCAGGGTTCAGCTGCTTCTTTGTGATACACTGAAGTCAGCAATTGTTTTCCATTCACATTCTCCACTTGAACATCTAAGAATGATGTTGGATTGCTGATTGGTGAAGTGATTTTGATATTGGGATGACGACTGTTCGCTTCGTTCAACATTCGGTTAATTTCATCGATCGAATCGTCCGAAGTAAAGAAGATATCATCGATGTATCTGAAGAAGAGAGAGAGAGAGAGAATTAGGTAGAAGGGAAGATCAATTTACCTCCCGTAGAGTTCATTCTTCTGCCGTTGATGTTCGACGAATTGTCGTTCCCAATGCCACATGAAGATGTTGGCCAATGTTAACGTAAACGGTGATCCCATTGCACCACCGACCACTTGCCGATAATATGTATCTTCGTAGATGAAAACATTCTCAGTTAACACGATTCTTGCCAACTGTTCGACTGCTTCGATGGACATTCTCTGTACATTGTAATAGCCAAAATGATCGAGAAATTTCTTCAGAATGAAGATGGATTCTTCCTGAGGTAACATCGTGTACAGATCAGTCACATCACAGGTACAGACATGCGTGGTTGGTATAGTATCTTATGCTCTGACTTAAACTTAAACTATCTTGATCCCAGTGGTATGTACAAAGTCAGTTCTCTCTCTAACTCTTTTTTGTGTTCTATTGTTAACTTTTCTGTGACAACTATCCGTCATACATTTTAGATTATATTTTCTTCCCATCTTCTTGGTATTGTTCATCTTTTTTCACTCTACCGCCTGTTGGTCGCTCACCTCATTTCTCTCTGTGTGCTACTTTCGACATACCTGTCCACTCCTTGCCTAAACGTATATCCTTTCGTTACAATTTTAAAAAAACCCAATGGACAGAACTACGTCGTTGTCTTTCTCTCATTCATCTGGTCTTTATACGGCCCCTGATGCTGATTCTGCTGTGCATATTTGGACTGAGTATGTAAATGATGCCATACGGAGTTATGTTCCACTGGTGCCAGTTCACTCTTCTTCTTCTCTTCTCGCTCCTTCTCCAAAACTTGCACATCTTATCTTTACTCGTAACCGATGTTTTCGTAAACTAAAACGTCGTTACACTCCTTCTAATCTTACTGAATTTCGTAAAGCAAGGAATCTCGTTCTCTTTATCTACCGTCGTGAAAAATCTTCTTATCTTCGCTCACTCTCCTCTTTGTATTCAGATCCTCGCAAGCTTTGGAGCTCTATAAAAAAAACTGTCTTCTTCTCACTTTTCTCTTCCTCAGTCTATGTTCCCAGGCTCCAAATCTGTTTCCACAGATGCGGATAAAACTGAACTCTTCAACTCTCATTTTTCTTCTTGCTATTCTTCTCTTCAGGGTCAAATTCCTCCCTCTGCCACTGTAGACTTGCCAAAAATGGATAAAAAGCTCGACTTCTCCGTGCGTGATGTCGAAAATCTATTCCGGAAGTTGAATAAAAAGTCTACTGTTGGTATTGATGGAATCCCCTCTTCCTTCCTCTCTTCTTGTGCTGACATCCTTTCACCTCATCTTCATTTTATTTTCCATCTATGTCTCTCTTCTTGCAATTTTGCACACGTTGTTCCTATTCATAAAAAAGGTGCTCTTGCTGATATTTCTAACTACCGTCCGGTTTCTCTTCTTCCTGTTGTTTCTAAAGTGTTTGAGCGTTTAATTTATAATTTTACTTTTTCTCATCTCACTAAGCATTCCTTCTTTGCAAATAAACAATTCGGTTTTCGCCCTAAACACTCTACTCTTGACGTCTTGTTATTTCTGTCTTCTACTGTTTCTAACTTCTGGAATGCTGGTGTAAAGTGTCTTGGTGTGTCTTTTGATTTCTCTAAAGCGTTTGACTCTGTCTCTGACTCTTTTTTGTTAAAAAAATTGTCGTGTTGTGGTGTGAATGACTGTTTACTCTCTCTCTCTTGTCAGAGATGGACGAGTACAAAATCTTCAGTACTCGTACTCGTACTCGGTAGTTTTCTTTACGAGTACTTAAAAATATATTCGAGTTAACAGAATGTGCATGATTTATAAGGTTATTTTTGGTTTAGTTAGAATAAGTGCTCAGCATGCCAGATACGTAGAGGTAAAGAAAACAAAGTACAGCTTAAGACGAGACAGGGTGCCTAAACTATATGATTATGCAGATAAAAGTTCTTTTTTTC